ATCACAGCTGCCATGTCCTTACAATGCTTTTCTTATTCATTGTAAGTGATGTAAGATTCAGCTGAACACAAAATACAAGAAGAAGGACCCTCTGTAGTGGCTAACTAATGTTGTCATAAGCTCACTGATGCTTGTATTGTGAAACTCTTTGGACAATAGTTGATATTCTACAATATAATGCATCAGTGTAACCTAAGAACTTAAAATGTTATTAAGTAAATTGTGTGATACTTATCTTGTGGGGCTGTATATATAAATGATAGTATATATGACTAAATACTCATTTGATCAGGTATCAATACTTTCCGAAGTAGTTTGACCACATTTATTGGCCATATTTAACAAAATGTATAATATAACTTATTTATATTGTACACAGTTATGATCATAATTTTGAAAAGCTACATATTGTCTATTTTTTGGACACAAGTAAAAGTCTGTGTGACATTTATTTCTGTTTATTATTATAGAAAAGAAATATTTATTTTTTGTATTATTTATATTTATGTTTTCATTGTTTTGTTTTTCATTCATTCTTAGGTAAAGATGACCATAGTATAAATGAGTATATGCATCTTGTGTTTTTTTCACTGTAGGATCAAAAATTGGTGTAGAGTACTGAACATTTAGCCCTTTTATACTGATATTGAGTTTGAATTTTTTGCCATTCTAACAAATTAATTTCTATAGCACATCTCATACACAAAATTATTCAGAGTGCTTCACAGCAGAGGTGGGACTTGCAAGTCGTGACTTGGACTCGAGTCAGACTTGAGTCACTATTTTCATGACTTGAGACTTGACTTGATAAAATGGACTAAGACTTGAGACTCGACTTGGACTTGAAGGTCAATGACTTGGGACTTGACTCAGACTTGAGGCCTGTGATTTGAGAAGCACTTTTAAATCTGAATTCTTTCTATTCTGATCATAATGATTCATGTTAAGATTTGTCCAGACATTTAAAAAGGAAAATGTAACTGAATTAAATTCTACAACTCTTATATACTCATATATAAATATACTATGATTTTTTAAGTACAATTTATTTTAAAAGTCAAATAAATTGTAAAAATCTTTGATTTAAAGATTTGAAATGACAGTACTTTAAATTTGATACATTTATCAGTGTGGCTTAACTCGCCACAGTCAGTGTCTTCACCAAAGCCCTTTACTAAAATGATATGTTTATGTTATCTCACAGGTAACAGACTAAGGCCAAAACAACACTATTGCATTTCTACTGCATAACTTCAGATTGTGTTTTGCAGGTATTTCTTGGGCTGTGCTTATCAATCAGCCTCCATCTTTATTTGCTAACCCTGGTGCTACAGTCAGACTCGACTGCTCACACAACCGATCTGACTACAGAGTGATGCTGTGGTACCATTTAATGTCTAATAACACTGCTCTAGACCTCATCGGATACGGATAGACAGCATGGAGCAGCCTTTTAAGGACAACTTTAAACTAGAAGGAGATCTGAAGGCCCATGTAAAAAAGGGATCACTGGTTATTACAAACAGAGCCACAGTCATAGCTTCCTTATCTGACACAGGTATAGTCAATACAGGGGAAGGCTTAATAATATGAGGAAAAGGCTTATTTATTAAGACAATACAGGCACCTCTTGCAATACAGGCTTATAGAATGTGCAATCAAATCTGTACATAGGTCAAGGGAATGTGCAATCAAAACTGCAAATAAATCAAGGGAATATGCAAACGAAAGTGCAAATAAGTCAAGGGAATGTGCAATCAAAATTGCACATAGGCACAGGGAGTGTGCAGTTATTAATAGAATATAAGACTGTGAAAGGATTGCTTGTGTACAGAGCAACTTAAATGTCCTGCTGTAGCACTAGTGGTTATACTTGATCTTGTATTTATGTATGTTCAATGGTAGATGTCTGTATGGTGCTTATGTTGCTGTGTTGTCTTGTCTTTGTGATCCCCTGTCCCAACATTGTATTTAAAATAAGATGAATTATTATGCTATTATGCGGTAATTGTACAATTTTTTTCATCTTTTTTTGTGGCCCATGAAAAAGGTAATTTATGTGACAATGACAACATGACATAATTGAAAACACAGACTGTATAGAACTGTATAAATCCAAAAATGCTAAGATAGTTTTTAAAGCAGTTCAAACAGCCGTACTGCACAAACCTAGTGAAATGTCAGTGTCATTATTCCATTCATAGAAACCCATCCAGTCCAGTCTCTTATGTCCTTCTGACATGTTAAAAATGAGTGTATAAGATTTGCCTCTCTTGTAACACCTTTCACTTTAAATAACTCACTTCAACAATACTTCATTTATTATTTGCATTGTTGTGTCCATATTTTGTATTTACAAAGTATATTGTATTTCTAATGCCTTTTCTAATACTTTCAATCATGCCTTATAAATGTAATATTTCAGTCTTTTTTTTTTTCATTGCTCTTTGTAGCACCATATCACCAAAGCACATTTCTAGTTTGTGAATTATGCTCAGTGATTGGCTGACTACTTAATTTTACTTCCATGCATCACTTCCTGTTTACACCTCTTGTATATAACATGCCACATGTGCACACACACTCACAGTTCAACTCTCAACATGAAGACATCTCTTTACATCCTTCTCTTTGCTACGGCCATTATCAAAGGTTCTGTTGAACTCATTACTGCACATTGTTGCCTAATTCTAGTATATCTGATTATATCTAACTAATGTTTTTGTTTTTTTTATATAGTTTATCTCAAAGATGATGTGAAAATATCACAGTCTGGATCTTATGTGTTGAATAAACCACAAACCTTTGTAAGTCTGAATTTGAGGCACAAATTGCTCAACCATGACACTATTCTGTGGTACCAGCGTCTTAAAGGGGACACGACTCTCAAACTTGTGGGCTACCTGTACTACAACAGCCCAACAGTTGAGGACCAGTTTAAGGATCTGTTTATAATAAGAGGGGATGCCAAAAAAATGTCCGATCTCTATATTTTCGATGCAAAAGTGACAGACAGTGCGGAGTATTTTGGTGCTGTACGAATTCCACAGTATCAACATTAGTGAAGTTCTTCTACAAAAACTGGAGACCACGAAACCAAGATTATCTGACAGAGCAGCTGTTCACCTCAAATGAACCTGTAAAAAACAGGGACATATGTGTGTAATCCAAGCACTCCTCACACTTCACATACAAACCCCCTTCTCCAACGCACTAGAACAGGGGTGTCAAACATACGGCCCGGGGGCCAGATCCGGCCCTCCAAGACCTTTAATCTGGCCCTCAGCTGATTTTCTACTAAAATATTTTAATTATATTTTCTATTAAAATATTGTTAATTTTCTGTGGTGCTTAGCAGAGCAGCATCTCCAGCACTTCTGTGCGTGGCCCCTCCCAAGAGAGCAGCACAAATGAAGTCTCTTTCCAAACGCTCTTAAAGGACGACCGTTTTGACTGTTGACCGTGACACCCTCATCAGCAAAATGTCAAAAATGAGAAAAGTGGATGCCAAGTGCAGGATTTTCCAAGAAAAACTGACTTATTCCTATTTGCAAACAAGTTAATGTTAAAACATTGTGTTGAAATTGTATTTTTCTTAAAGTTTCAGGTTGTTCATAATATTATAATATTTTGTAAAAGAAAAAGTTCATCAGTTACAAAAGATTTCTGTAATAGATTTGCGTTTCTCTGCACAAATATTTGAACTTGTTGCTATTTTTGGGGTAAATATGCCATGGTTTTCTGATCCGGCCCCTTTGGCATCAAAGTAGGTTGGATACGGCCCCCGGACCAAAATGAGTTTGACACCCCTGCACTAGAAGAAAATGTCTGAACACTGAACACATCATACACACAATAGTTAGAGTTAGTTATATAATATATCTCTGGATTATATTAAAGTCTGTGAGTCACATTTAAAACATTTAGACTTGCATTGTAGATCCAAATACAGAAAAATGTCTTTTTTCAATTCAAAATGTCCTTGCATACCTCTAAGACAGATCAGTCCACCTAGCCTTGAAGGTACCACATTTTGGAAAGCACTGGTCTATTATAAAAACTAATTTTAAGGCTACAAAAAGAGCATGTTTAAATTAAAAAGAAATAGTGCAATGAAATCTTCTAAACTGAATATAAGGTGATATTTCTGCACTTTTGTCATTAAACGTTCACTATGTAACTTCTTCTTGTCTCCATGGAGACATTATTGCTCTGCCTGAAATGCTCCACAATATGACTTTAAACTTATTTCTCATCTTGGAGGCAAGGTGATGCCAGCAGGCCAGGTTACAGATCAGATCTGTGAAGAGGTGGCTCTGCTCTGTAGATCTATTTTTTAAGGTATTTCTAGTAATATACATAAGAAAATTAAGGCCATACTGTGGAGCATTCCAGGCAAAGCACATCTCCATGGAGACAAGTAGATGGCAGACCCCCCAGGTTAAAAGTGTGCACCTTTAACAATGCACTTTCAATTTCAGTCCATTCTTGTTTTGTGCCATTTGTCCTAAACCAAGTTACAGGCTCATTTGATCATATTTCTGGTGAATTATCACAGTACTGTCTGTATATAATCACTGGAAAAATACCAAACATATATGAATAGATTTATTTTCCGCCCCTTCTATTAACACTAAGGAAACATGCATCACACTCTTAAGGTGACAGGAATTACATTACGGATAGAACTGGAAATTAGCAAGCACCGTCTAATATTACAAAAGCACTTATAAAAGACGTTAAATCACTGAACAGGATTTTAGCTGCAAATTAGCGCAGTATTTCAGAGTCACTTATGCTGGAGAACAAGTAACTTTTTTAGGTATTATCAAGAAAATGAAAATGTATTTTTGAGACTGCATGTAAAAACCTGGTGTTGTGTAATTTTAACTTGTTTTGAGTTGATTAAACCATTTGGGGGCAGTGTAACACCAGCCACACGCTCTCAGCAGGAAATGATGATGAATAAAACCACTGTAACGAACTGAACCCTCCCAAATGATCCAACTCTCAACATGTCTCCACCTCTGTTCACGTCTGCTGCTGCATTCTGTCTGTATTTTTCATGTAAGACTCAGATTATCACATCTTTTTGACATTATTATTTATAGTTTAGTTAAGACATTTTAAATTCCCATTGTACCCTTTTTTGTTGCAAACTTAATCTTGATAGTTCTAATTAGTCTTTGCTTAGATTCAATATAGTCCTGCTTGACCTTATGAATTTTAGTTGCAGTTGACATTGGTCCACTTTTAGAACAGATTTATCTTGTTTTTTTGCATATACATGAATAACTACTCAGAGATTGAAGAATTTCACAGATTTTTACAACTGCATTTGAATATTTTTTACCTCCACAGATCTAGCAGCGGCTGTTAAATTTCAGCAGTCTCCCTCGATAATAGTGAACCAAGGTGTTAGCGTGTCTATAGAGTGCAACCATGACGACAGTTCCCTCACTGTTATGCTCTGGTACCAGCACCAGCTGGACACTCAGTCTATGATGTTAATAGGATACCATTATGGAACTGACAACTATGAGAAAGAACTTGAAAAGCAGTTTAAGATAGAGAGATCCTCTGTGAAGACCAGCTCTCTAACAGTGCTCAGTACAAGCCCCTCACACTCGGCTGTGTACTTCTGTGCAGCCAGTATCACAGTGATGAAGTATAGAGCCACTCCCACCTAAAAACCTACTGCACACAACATCTGTTATTGGTTGGTGGTTCATTCCCTCGAAATATTTAATCTGGAAGATTTTCTGAAACATTTGCTTTCAACCATGATGTGAAAAGTAGCATCTCAAATGTTCATAACTAATAAGGATGCAATGATATTCGATATTATGTCAAATCGTTCGATACTGGTGTCATGATGCAATGCACATGTTTGCTCGATAAGTACGTGTCCCTCTGTGCGTGCTGTGTTGTCATTTATTTTAGTCCAGGGAAGCGCTATATAGAATATAGATACAGAATACTTTACTGTGTGTGGTTGTGCTGTAATGTATTAAAATGTGATGTTTCATTTATATCATAGTGTTTTATATTATGCTCATTAGCAGGAAGAATAATACATATTTTTTATTTTGTCAACTTAAAACGTATCAAAATATGCATCAACATACTTATCAAATTGTGGGAAAACTGTATCATATATTATAAAATAATAGTCTTGCATAGTCTCCCTTGAAACAGGAAAAACAAACAGTTACACACATTCCAACAGTCCCTTATGTTTATTTCCTCAACGTATTGGAAGGTCTTCTGCTACATTTGCTGCCACATATGGTATGAAAAGTCTATAGCATCTCAAGTGTCCATAACTCGCTCTTTAATAAGCTTCTGGCACAGTCTGCAGCTCATTTCACATAATCCAAGTATACTTACTTGTGTCCTTTAAACTGCAAGTGTTTCTTCTTAGCTTGTTAAAATCTCATGATATGATGTTGGAGTACATCCATGTACAGTCCTAGTATAAGCAGTGCTTATTGGTTGCAGTGGGAGGAGTCAGAAATGCTTTGAAATTTCACCCTTGAGGGATAGGTTTCCTTGTGTCTCAGTAGTGAAAAGCTGAGCTGAAGTTAAAGGATGCTGCTACATTTAAGTGGACTGTTTCTCGTCTTCTGTTCATGTAGGCCTGATGTTTTTAATACACTTTAAAACGTGCAGATTGACTTATTTATCTTTTATTTCTGTAATATTTTTATGTATGTGTATTTACGGAATACAGAATATATTTCTAAATTGATTGCAAAATTTTCGAAATATATGTCTTTGTTTTGACTTACAGATGCAGAAGCTATAACATTTGAGCCATCTCACCCCAGGATAGTTAATAACTCCACAGAAGTAGAGATCGATTGTCACCATGACAGCAGTGAAATGTACGTAATGCTTTGGTACAAACAACTCCAGGACGGACAGATGAAGTTAATTGTTTACAGCTACTTTGGCAGTGACCCTGTATTTGAGAAAGACTTTTTGAAAAGGATGAAGAGAACAGACAGGCAGACAGGAGCTCTGATCATCTCCAATGTGGAGCCCAATGACTCTGCGATGTATTTCTGTGCTGCCAGTACACAGTGATGTGGTTAATATGAGTCTGATATTAAAACCTGCTCCTGGATCTCATTCAGCGCACAAAAACACATGTTCAAACTGAGAGGATTCAACGAGAGACACGACAATGTTGTTTCACTCATTACTATCTCACAACTATTGATACTTCGCAGCTGATTTCATCAACAATTCCTGTGGGTGTGACGTTAACTAGAGGCACTGCTCTGTCTGAAGCTCCATTACTCTAATTAGACTTTGATCTGAGCCTTGTTTTAACTCAGCAGAGCTGACTTAGCTGGAACTACAACATGTGTTGTTTAAATCCATTTTGTATTTATTCTTGAGTTTTCACACCATCTTAAAAAAAATTGACAGTGTTTGCTAATGTGCGGACTGTGTTACCACACTGAACATTCCTCCATAGACATACATGTAGAACACCCCCAGCATGATATATTAAAGGTATCAATATCACCCCATTTGGTTTCATTTCTAGACTAAAGAGACAGTGTTTATCAGAGTTAATATAGGCGATATGCATTTTTTTCATATATTGTGCTGGTCAAATATGGTAACATTTCCTGATACAGGGCTTGAATGCCAAAAACAATGTTACTTGCAGCTGTGCAGAAATACATAAACACAAGAGAAAAAAACAAACAAAAAAACAAAAACACAAATATATATTAAAAAAAATCTCAATTAGTTTTAAAATAGGCTAACTAATCTCCCAAGTTTAACATGATGTAGCGTAAATCACCAATTCATTTTTAATCTAGTTTAAACAAATTAATAATTTCAAGCAGGTTTTTAACCTACAAGATTCAAACAAACAAAACTGTTTTGTCATTTGAATCGAGCTTTGTCACCAGTAGGAGGCACTGTTGTTGTGTATAAAACCAGTATAATCAGCTCATAGAGGAGGAGTGTATACCACAACACAATTTACAGTAGTGCATTTGATATCTGTTGAGTGCTGGTAATAACATGTAACTATGGCTACTACAATATTAAGACTTCTGCAGCTTTTAATTCAAATTAGTAAGAAAAACTATTTCAAGATTTGCCATTGTAATGTACCAGTTGTATTTTAATATATGTATTTTGTTTTTCAGATTTCTGCCTTGCTGTGCATATCAAACAACTTCCATTTGTGCAGAGCTATACAAATTTTATTGCATCTTTTCATTGCTCTCATCATCACAAAGACCACCATTACATGTACTGGTATAAACAGAGTGCTTCAGAGGGCATGACATTGGTGGCATATTCTGCTGGAAAAGATACAGCCACTTTTGAGAGCACTCAGCACAAATCCAGGTTTATTTTAAATAGACCAAATGTGTTTGAATGCATTTTGCATTTTCATAATGTGACGTTTGAAGATTCAGAGTCTGTTTTTTACTGCGCTACAAGTCGAGCACAATGATACAGGGAAACACAAATGTTTAACAAGAACTTGGCATTCACTCAAAAACATGAAAATTGATTCTCTACACAAATTTGAGATAAACATGCAGGTGTCGCATAGAGTCTAATACTAAATGAAACCTCAAGGCTCCAGGTTCGAAAAACAAGGAAGATACTGAAACATAGAGCCACTCCCAGCTAAAAACCTACTGCACACAATATACAAGAAAGTACTGTGGAAGGTTTACATATCTAATAGTGTATATGGACACACTTCTTTCATTAAAAAAATAAGACTAGACTGTCTTGTCCAAGTAAACTTAAAAGTATTCAACTAAATAATTTGGATTTCAAAATGATAAGTATATTTTTTATATCTATAAAATAGGACCTAAAAATGTAAGTAAATTCTTAAAATTATACAGCATGTACCATTAATCATATTGCTTTTATGGAAATACAATACTGTTTATTAATATAGTTTCAATCTGTACTATTGTATTTCATTGGCTGTGGAAGTTTACTCAACAACACAAAACTCATTTGAACCACCAGTTCGCTCTGAACCAAAACACAAGAGACGGTTTCAAAAGTGGTTTGATTAAGCAGCAACTGAAAAACTGATGTATGATTATTTCTGTTCATACACACAGGCACACAGCAGTACTCAGTGTCTTCATAGAACTGCTTCATTAGTGTAGAAACAACTTGTGCAACATAAAGCATCTATTATAACAAGTATCTCTTTTGCTACTACAATTGCGTTACCATCATGAAATGTATCTTTATATTTGTTTTAATTTTTTTATAAAGCTTCCATATTCCACATATGCAGTACTTGTTTGCAGTGGGAGGAGTCAAAAATGCTTTGAGATTTCCCTTTTTAGAATAGGTTTAGTATAAGTGAAAAGGTGACCTGAAGTTAAACGATGCTGCTATATTTCAGAGGACGGTTTTTCATCTTCTTATCATGTAGGCCTGATTTTTTTAATGCTATTTAAAAATGTATTGATTGACATTGTTTACATTTTATTTCTGTAATATTTTTATGTATGTGTATTTACAGCTGCTGAAGCTATAATAATTGATCAATCCTCACCAAATATAGTGGACCTAGACAGTGGCAGCTGGTGGAATTTATTTTATTTTTTTTTTTTGGGGGGGGGGGGCATAGGCCAAAATTATAATAAATATACGTATTATTTATAGGCTATATAGTATTATAACGAATTCCAGAAACAGACAGTCATTTTGGCCACTATTGGCTGAACTATATCCATCAGAGCACAACGCACAACCTGATCCACCGCTCACACCCAACTCCAACAACGTCAGCAAAACTACAATAAGAGGCTACGGTCACAACACGAACACATAGCTTCAGTGCCGCTCCTACATCACACGGCAGAACAACCAGAGCAGCTCCGTCAGCTCCGAGCTCATTTACGCACTATTTAACTATTAACACTTTTTACCTGTGAGGCTCCACCCGCAGATTTTGTCGAAGTTTTCACCTTTTTTATTGGTTTATTTAACAATTACTGGCAACGTCACAAGGGGGCAGTACAACAATAATAACAACATTGTAAAATTACTGCATGACAACATTGACTTTATAACACTCCCACTTAATTTTACAATACCATTTGTATAAGATTTTCCCTTTTGAAAATAAAATGAAAAAAAAAAAACATATTTACGCCCGACTAACAACTAGGCATAATAAACACTTAATAAACTGAACACAGCCCAATCTCTTCTCTGAGATGCTCAAACTTTTGCTTAGGCAAGGGTTTTGTTAGAATATCTGCCCTCATATGATCTGTTGAGATATACTGCAACTGTATTTGTCCATTCTGCACACATTCACGAATGTAGTGGTAACGAATGTCTATGTGCTTGGTTCTTGCATGATCAACTGGATTCTTTGCTATTGCGATGGCTCCTTGATTATCCTCCAGGATCACAGTCGGTATGGTCTCCATTCCAAGTTCAGTTAGTAGTCGTCTCAGCCACATTCCTTCCTGTGCAGCTTGGCTTAGTGCGACGTACTCAGCTTCTGCAGTTGAAAGTGCTACTGTGGCTTGTTTCTTACTCAGCCACCTTATTGCTCCTCCAGCGAGTAGAAAGATGTTTCCTGTAGTTGAACGCCGATCATCCTGATCACCTGCCCAGTCTGCATCTGAGAATCCAACTAAGTTTCCTGTCTCTGTTCGCTTATACTTGAGTGCAAGGTTTTGCGTCCCTTTCAAGTATCTCAGTATTCTTTTGACTGCAGTGAGATGTGCAGTATTTGGATTTGCATTGAACTTTGATACGGCACTCACTGCTTGTGCGATGTCTGGTCGCGTGGCCATAGCAGCATACAGCAAACTTCCTACCATGGACTGATAGGCACTCTGGTTCACTGGCTTACTGACATCATCATTCTTTTTTAGCTTAACATTTGTATCAGCTGGCGTTGCCACTGGTTTGGCACTGTCCATTCCATATTTTTTTAAAATACCCTCAATGTATTTTTTCTGATGAAGAAAGATGCACTCTTTATCTTTGTCTTGAACAACAGAGATGCCCAAGATGTAGGACAGCTCACCCATGTCCTTCATTTTGTATCTTTTCTTCAGAGTTTCTTTTAGCTTGTCCATACTCTCAGCTGACTCTGTAATCAAAATCAGATCATCAACATACACAGCCAGTATTTCTAGTTCCTGACCTGTTCTAACAAACACACACTGATCTGAGATACTCTGAGCAAAGCCAATGTCCTTCATAAACTCTGTGAAAGCTTTGCTCCAGCAGCGAGGTGACTGTTTTAGTCCATAGATTGACTTTTTCAGTTTGCATACCATATGTTCTTGTCCTTGTTTTGTGTAACCTTCTGGTTGCTCCATGTAGATTTCCTCTTGTAAGTGTCCATTTAGAAATGCTGTTACAACATCCATTTGGTGCACATGAAGATTGTTTTGCACAGCAAACGATAACAATGTACGGACTGAACTGAACCGTACCACCGGTGAAAAAGTCTCATCATAGTCTGCACCATAAACCTGTGAGTAGCCCTTAGCAACAAGTCTACACTTGTATCTTTCAACTCGTCCGTCACTGTGTTGCTTGACTTTAAACACCCACTTTGATCCTATTGCTTTGCGTTCCTTTGGTAGCTCTACCAGGTCCCATGTGTCATTTTCCAACAGCGATTCATATTCCAGATCAGCCGCTTCCTGCCACTCCTTTGCATTTGGACTCAACATGGCTTCTTTCAGTGTGGTTGGCTCTGTAACACAACACATGTTAGCATAATGCTCAACAGTTACTACATCAGCAAACTCCTCGTATCCAAATCTCTTTGGAGGCCTTCTGATTCGGCTTGACTGTTTAACAACCTCACTATCTGTAGTGTTCTTAGAATTTGTTTGCTTTTCATCAGTGTTTAGTGTCACTTCATTATCTACGTTGGATACATTTTCTCCTTGTTTACATCCAAAGTCCGTCTCATTGAAAACAACATCCCTTCGAATGAGTACTCTCCTCTTTTGCTCATTCCACAAACGGTAACCTTGTGCATTGCTTGCATAGCCTATGAAGCGAAGCTTTACTGCTTTTTTGTTCAGCTTCCTTCTTTCTACATCTGGGACATGCGCATAAGAGACACAGCCAAATACTCTCATATGACTAATGTCTGGCCTTTTTTCATACCACCTTTGAAATGGCGTTTCCCTTTTGAGAACCGATGTGGGCAACCTGTTCTGTATATAGGCTACAGTTGCAACAGCCTCTATTTATTTATCAGAGCTAATATAGGCGATATGCATTTTTTTCATATATTGTGTCCTCTGTGTGTGTATATATATATATATATATATATATATATATATATATATATATATATATATATATATATATATATATATATATATATATATATACACACATATACATATAAGGACATGACTAGAGATTAGATTTCACAGAGGGGAAGACAGTGAGCTGAAGTTTTAAAGGGTGTCACTTTAAGCCACTCCCTCACCCCTCAACAAATCAAAAGCTAACTGCATAATTTCACATTCAGGACATGGAAAAGTCTTCTTGTTATTTGTGAAACATGTCGAATAAGATTAAGTTGCCTCTTGCTGTGGTCGGATTCATTCTCACTTTCTTATTAAGTAATGTTTATTTTTTATCACAACAATATATTTTGAAATTGTTTTTGAACTTTAAAATGTATATCTGTGTTTTTATTTACAGAGGCAGAAGCTATAACATTTGATCCATCTCATCCCAGGATAGTTAATAACTCCACAGAAGTACGGATCAACTGTCACCATGACGAAAGTGATAAGAATGTAATGCTTTGGTACAAACAACTCCAGGACGGACAGATGAAGTTAATTGTTTACAGCTACTTTGGCAGTGACCCTGTTTTTGAGAAAGACTTTTTGAAAAGGTTTGAGATGAAGAGAACAGACAGGCAGACAGGAGCTCTGATCATCTCCAATGTGGAGCCCAATGACTCTGCGATGTATTTCTGTGCTGCCAGTACACAGTGATGTGGTTAATGTGAGTCTGATATTAAAACCTGCTCCTGGATCTCATTCAGCGCACAAAAACACATGTTCAAACTGAGAGGATTCAACTAGACACACGACAATGTTGTTTCACTAATTACTATCTCACAACTATTGATACTTCACTGCTGATGTCATCAACAATCCCTGTGGGTGTGACGCTAACTGGAGGCACTGCTCTGTCTGAAGCTCTATTACTCAAATTAGCCTTTGATCTGAGCCTTGTTTTAACTCAGCAGAGCTGTTTTAGCTGGAACTACAACATGTGTTGTTTAAATCCATTTTGTATTTATTCTTGAGTTTTCACACCATCTTAAAAAAAATTGACAGTGTTTGCTAATGTGCGGACTGTGTTACCACACTGAACATTCCTCCATAGACATACATGTAGAACACCCCCAGCATGATATATTAAAGGTATCAATATCACCCCATTTGGTTTCATTTCTAGACTAAAGAGGACAGTGTTTATCAGAGTTAATATAGGCGATATGCATTTTTTTCATATATTGTGCTGGTCAAATATGGTAACATTTCCTGATACAGGGCTTGAATGCCAAAAAATAAATAAATAAATAAATATAAAAAGGAGTTTTAAAAAGTTAAATTTAATTTATTTAAAATTTAAACAAATTAATAACATGGAGCAGATTTCTAGAGCTGCAAGATTGAAATGACAGAACTGTTATAAATTGAGCTTTGTCACCAGTAGGAGGCACTGTTGTTGTGTATAAAACCAGTATAATCAGCTCATAGAGGAGGAGTGTATACCACAACACAATTTACAGTAGTGCATTTGATATCTGTTGAGTGCTGGTAATAACATGTAACTATGGCTACTACAATATTAAGACTTCTGCAGCTTTTAATTCAAATTAGTAAGAAAAACTATTTCAAGATTTACCATTGTAATGTACCAGTTGTATTTTAATATATGTATTTTGTTTTTCAGATTTCTGCCTTGCTGTGCATATCAAACAACTTCCATTTGTGCAGAGCTATACAAATTTTATTGCATCTTTTCATTGCTCTCATCATCACAAAGACCACCATTACATGTACTGGTATAAACAGAGTGCTTCAGAGGGCATGACATTGGTGGCATATTCTGCTGGAAAAGATACAGCCACTTTTGAGAGCACTCAGCACAAATCCAGGTTTATTTTAAATAGACCAAATGTGTGTTTGAATGCTTTTTGCACTTTCATAATGTGACGTTTGAAGATTCAGAGTCTGTTTTTTACTGCGCTACAAGTCGAGCACAATGATACAGGGAAACACAAATGTTTAACAAGAACTTGGCATTCACTCAAAAACATGAAATATGATTCTCGACACAAATTTGAGATAAACATGCAGGTGTCGCATAGAGTCTAATACTAAATGAAACCTCAAGGCTCCAGGTTCGAAAGACAAGAAAGATAGTGAAACATAGAGCCACTCCCAGCTAAAAACCTACTGCACACAATATACAAGAAAGTACTGTGGCCAAGTTTACATACCTAACAGTGTATATAGTGTATAATGTTTTTGATTAAAAAAAATAAGACTCAACTGTATTGTCCAAGTACTCAACTAAATAATTTGGATTCCAAAATGATAAGTATATTTTTTATATCTATAAAACAGCACCGAAAAATTTACGTAAACCCTTAAAACTATACAGCATGTACCATTAATAATATCACTTTTATGGAAATACAATACTGTTTATTAATATAGTTTCTGTAATATTGTATTTCAGTGGCTGTGGAAGTTTACTCAACAAGGCAAGACAAAAGGCAGAAATTTAAACAAATGAAGAATATGGTATGACATTGGTGGCATATTCTGCTGGAAAAGATAAAGCGATGAATAAAGTGCAGATTATATCGTGCAGAGTTAAACATAAATATGAATGATGAGTTGTTGTTTTTGTTATATGAAGCTTTGATGTAACAAAAATGAAATGTAGTCCTCACCACAAAAGTGAGATAAGCAGCAGGTGTCTTTCACACACTATAGACACAGTACACTGTCATTGTCTTGTTTCAATGATGATACAGCTCATGTCACGAAATCTATGTAATTATTCAAAGGGAGATTAGATCAGTGGATTGTCTTCAGATGTGAAACGATAACAGGTTTAAGTGAGAAGACACTGACCTCTGCTGGTGGGAAACAGGATTACATTTATAAAGTATAGAATTCAAGATGTGATGTTAACTCAGTCACTCGTAGGCTGTGTACGTTTGTGTTTGTATTCAGCTACATACCCCATACATTAGGCCTGTAGTTGTAGATACGATTCATCATTTATCTTACTAAAGAAGATGAAATTATAAGCAAAATGCAAATAGTTTAACTTTTTTTCCTCAAGCTCTGTGTATATACTATTATGGTATGTCTGTGTGTGGTCTCCATGTATAAAATTATATTAAGATCAACTTTTAGCATCACATTAAAGATTAAAAAACTATAAAAAGTAAACAGAGCAGGCTCAAGACCCACCTGTTCAGCCTTTGATTAAAATGTTATTCTTTTACTTGTTTTTATTTATTCATTTTAGGCATACTGTTAACTTGAACTCATATTCTTTTATCATTTTTAGGATTTCCAGTGTTTCCTCTGTAGGAGCCCTCTGCACAGGGAGCGGTGGTCGGCTGCGGCTGTCACGGTCTGTCATGTGGGCTCCTGGTGGATCTCTCTGCTGGGCCTGTGGTGATTCCTGGTGGCGGAGGACGGCTCTCTGCTCCTGGTGCAGATGGCTCCACTGATGGTGCGATGTGCAGTTTTATGTATTTTAGTATGTTTGTATGTGTGTGCGTGCGTGTGTGTGTGTGTGTATGTGTTTGTGTATATGTGTATGTGTATGTGTATGTGTGTCTGGGTTGTTTGGTTGTGTGGGGTCGGGCAGCTGTGGGGTGAAATAATAAAAAAAAAAAACTTTAAACATTACTGATTGACTTAGGCAGTAAGGCATGGATTTCAAATGAGCATTTCCTAGTGATTTTGACTTCTTAAGGGAGTTTATAGAGTGTTCAAATACAGATGCCATTTACTAACAGAGTTTGCCTATAAAGAGAAGAATTCTACCCAAAGCTGCTCTAACGTTGTGATGTAGATCTTTGTTTTTTGTATCTGATTGGATCTGAGGTGTGGCCAGGAAACGTGTCACTTCCTGTTCTTAAAATTGCCTTCTGTATATGTATTATGTATATATATTTTATTGCCTTGTGCTCCTACTTTGAGTTTGATAGTCACAGCTGCTCCTCTCTCTCTGTCTCTCTCTCTCTCTCTCTCTCTCTCTCTCTCTGTCTCTCTCTCTCTCTCTCTCTCTCTCTGTCTGTCTGTCTGTCTCTCTCTGTCTGTCTGTCTGTCTCTCTCTGTCTCTCTCTCTCCTCTGTGTCTGAGGGAGCGGAGCTTTTTGTATGAAGTGTTTTCATGGTGGGGACAGGGGGCACCGTGATACAATCCTATAGAGACGCCATACAAAAACCTGAATGGATTCAGTTTGACAAAGAAGAAGCAGAAGAGGAGGGAGAGAGATTTTCAGTGTCAGTTTTGATCTTCACCAACAACACTGTGGCCAGCACTCAGCCTGCGTACTTTGGACCAGGCACCAGGCTCATGGTACTAGGTAAGTACTAACAGTTATTGTGTATTTTAATGTATTTTGGTTTGAATGCATCACTTTGGAAATAGTTTTACAATCACACAAAATAGAGAGGTTTGAGGCTCCATATAACTTCACTGTGAAACATGAATGAAGCCTACTTTGGGCAAGGAACCAAGCAGACGGTTTTAAGTAAGTGATAATACTTCAAAAATATGGCTAGATTATTACAAGATATGAGTTAAAAATATAACGCGATTAAGAAGTTGGTGTAACAATGTTTTGAGATGAAGCTTGAGCTCTGTGTCAACTATGAAGCTTATTTCGGCCAAGGGACCAAGCTGACTGTTCTGGGTGAGTAAACCAATAGTGTAGCTTTGTGAAAATGATTCCAGATTGTCTCTATATTCATTTCATTTGTGCGTAGAGTACTTTATAAAATATTTTACGAACATACTTTGGTGGAGGAACCAAGTTAACTGTTTTAAGTAAGAAAAGACTCAACTAATCCTAACTTATAGATCTATCAAATCTGTTGGCATCTACCTTTAAAAAAAATGTAATATTTTGTAAAAGTGTTATTATAATCACAGTGAAATGGAGAGATAAAAAGCAGGTGTTTTTTCAATAGTTGAGTTGCTCTGTGTACATACAGTGAAGCTTACTTTGGAACTGGCACCAGACTCACCGTTTTAGGTAAGAAAAATAAGAAAAGTTTTGAGTGTCATTATATTATTATGTCATTATAAATCTCCTAATTGAAGCTTTTGAGGTTGGAGAACAGAGTTGGTAGTAGAAAAATACAGTTGTTAGTGAAACCAGTGCTATAATGAATACTTTGGCTCCTTGCCCAGTCTACGTGGTCTAGTACTGAAAGAAGTTCTTAGTATTCAGATGTATTACTGTGAACTACCAAGCAGAGGCTTACTTTGGACCAGGGACTAAACTTACTGTTTTAGGTAAGAACAACCAAAATTATTACAAAAATAACATTATGTCTAATGTTGTAACTTAAAGAGGCACTGTGTAACTTTTCTGGTGGATTATCCGTCAAATGCTTTTCTCCATGGAGAAGTTATTACTTTGTCTTGAAAGTCTCACAATGTGGTATTAAACCTCTGAGCTATAAAACCACCTGTGATTGAAAAAATGTAAAGTAGAGCTGTTTAATGTTGTACTGTGGAACATTCCAGCCAGAGCAATGACATATCCATAGAAACATGCAGGTGACAGACCCCCAACCAAAAAGTTTCATAGTGCACCTTTAATAAAAAAAAAATAAAAAAAAATGCCAGTATGGATTATAAAATGTAAAGTTTGTCTATGATTAGTTTAGTAAAGTGATTGTGTTTTGGCTAGTTGTAAAAGTGTAACCTTCATTTGAGGAACTTAAGAGCCTGTTTTAGGTACAGAAAAAAAAAAAAACTCTAAACATTGACTGATAACAGCTACATTTACTATATACTGCTCAATATTGGACCCATGTGTAACTATATTTTGAAGCACGATATACTGCTACAGAGATATACTGAGATAAACAAACATATTTAAACTTCTTTATGCCACTGAAACAAAGTAAAATAGTCCCAAAGTCTGTTTTAAAGACATCAAAATCTCTCCACTATTGCACAGAAAAAGTACCCACGAGAAATACTGGGGCCCAAAATATATTGTTCAATCTTTCATATATTGAATGATAAATGAATATATTCATTATCGTTACAGATCTTTGTGTAACAGAGCCACAATGAAGAGAACCTAGTGATACACCCAGTACTATACTTGCTTTGTGAATTACTCGATTGTGCTCATAATTTTTTCATAATTCATCTTTACAGAACCCAACACTGAAATCAAAGAACCACAAGTGAAAATCTTCAAACCATCAGATAAAGAAGGTCCGAAAACCAAGACCCTGGTTTGTGTGGCCAGTGGATTCTACCCGGACCACGTCACTGTTACTTGGTTCATTAATGGAGATGAAGCTGAAAATGGGGTATCTACAGACAGCGCCCCCCAGAGGGAAGACAACAAGAATTACACCATCACCAGCCGACTCCTGATCCCTAAGGCAGTGTGGTACATCCCGCACAACACTTTCAGATGTGAAGTGCAGTTTGTCAACAGGTTTAATGTCACAAAGCATGCTGATGAAATACAAGGTAAAGGAGGATACAAATGTGTTTGAATGAGATGAATAAAAATTAAATTAAAAAGTTTTTTGGTTCTAAATCACTTTTGTCTCTACAGGAGAAAAGGACATCTTACGTGGTATGTATACTTTGTACATTTCTAATGCTGCATTCATGTGGTCCTCGAAAAGTTGGGACTTCTGCTTCTGCATCTGAAGTGAACTGCTCTGTGCAGATGAATTAAACTCTGATGATTCATCAGTTTAACACTTTTGAGCTCTTTGCCTAAATTTGATCACATTTAAGGGTTAATTGTCACTTCCTCACATCATTAGAGCAACAGATCTGCACACTGACACTACAACTGTTAAATCACAGGTGTAACGTTGACTAGCTAAAGTAAAAAATAACATTCAGTTTTGAGAAAGCTACAACAACATCTGTGTTACTGAGCGGACTCATTGTATCGATGGTGACATCAAAATCCAGACTTTATGAGAGAAACACAAACAAAGTCTAAACCCTGAAGTCTCATCCCAGAACCCAGAGTTTCCAAGGACACATGAATGCAGCATGAGTCTGTCTGAGTCCAGGTTTAAGTCTGAGTTTAGTCCAGGTTGAGTTCTGGTTTAGAACTAGTTTAAGATCACAATACAGAAATAACTTCCTCAAGACACGTAGGCTTATGATGCTGGTTTAGTTTGGTTAAGACTTGCTGAGTAGAGTCCAGTGTTTGTTCAAATGCTGTTGTATTACTGCCAGTTTAATTGAGTTCAGATTAAAGCTTACACATGTTTTTCTCATCTTGGCAATTGTGATTATTCAGGTTACAGTATAATCCTAAAAATAATAGCTGTGATAACTTTAGGGGTAAACATAAGTAATTTAAATTCAGAATATACCAAAAAAAGTATACCTAAACGTGAAGAGTTTTTATTTAAACTACAATTAATTCACATTAACTTAAAGGGCAATACATAAGACAGTACATGTAGATTTTCTCTGTTGTTTGGTGATGATGTCAGTGAATTGTGAGAAACTGCTGAATCATAACTAAACACTAACACTAAGATCTGATATCTCTAGTTGGTTACTTGTTTAGTTTTCCCATAATATTCTTATTTTTTGTTTAATATCTCAGAAAAATACATGAAGACCACTCAAGCTGGCAAACTGTCGTACACTGTTCTGATCATCAAAGGGCTCATCTATGGAGTGTTTGTGGGGGCTCTAGTCTGGAAACTTCAGGTCAGTCTCAAAACATATAAAGTATAGTAAAAGAAACAGTAATGATTCAATGCGTTTGAAATCTAACATAAATGTCTCTGTTTTGGTTTAGGGAACAACTGGGAAACAGTGAAAGAAGTGGAGCTCGTGGATTAAATGTTATATTTTAGATTATTATAGATTATATATTATGTTTCTGTTTGTGAAATAGATAGTCTAATGCATGTTTATGTCTGAATACTGAATAGAAAGAGTTAAACAGCTTTTTGAATGATAATGTTTCCTTTTTCTTTACCAAAGATGGTGCACATCTGCCAAATTAGACAATATAGACTTGAGAAGAAATGAGATGTATCATAAAATCTAGGTGTAAAGTCCTGATGATGGGCTGTGAACTCTGTCAAATTATCAAAGTAAGTCATTTGTGTTTGGTTGAAAAAAGTAAAAATGCCTTATGTCTTGTATAATCTATGGATCTTTAAGTGTATCTGTTTCGTTGCTCAATCAAAATACTTTGAGCTCAATCCCTGATATACTGATAATGTTAAAATGTAAATAATGTATCCTTGTGATTTATGCTGTATTGATACAAATAAATGTTTTGCATGTAAGACGCCTCTCATTTGAAATTAAGCCTACATTTATGGAAATATAAAATCACTGTTCTATATTTTGTTTTGATCATAAAACATAAATAGATTACAGCAATAAAAAGATGAAGTTTTGAAGTCAGCATGATGGAAAATTACACGAATTACAGGAAGTGGTCTGTGGTATCGGAAAAACCCGGTTGAAGCGCTTGCTGACGTGAGAGGCGTTTTGTGAAAGTGCAAGAGACAGGACGTGGTCACAGCAGCTGCAAAAGGCCACATTCAACTAGAAGAATAAGCCCCGCCCCCTGCACCACAAGCCCCGCCCCCTGCACCTTTGCTCACTAACCTGACCTCCATCTATACAGCATTAGCAACACGAGCTACAAATACAGCTGGTTATATGTGCCAACCAAATGTACTTTTTCTGATCATGAAGGGTTTTATTAGAAATGAAAATACTAAATACAGTAAGAATAATTCATCTGAACAGCAGCACAATCACACACAACAATGGCTGGATTACACTACAATCTAATGGTAATTAAAATGTGTCTTTGTGCCAACCCAAAACACCAAAAGTAAAATCCTCCAGCTAAGATAGTCCTGACCAAGCCTAGCTCAAGATCTGAGATGAGTCCCCAGGTGCAGCGTTGAGCCAACTGCTCTTGACAGTTTGCCCCAGCATGACATGAAGGATGGGTCAAATGCAGAGAATAAACTCCCCTAAAGTGACAATAAAGGTTAATCTTAAAGGTGCACTGTGTAACTTTTTGGTTGGGGGTTGGTTTGTTTCTATGGATATGTCATTGCTCTGTCTGGAATGTTCCACAGTATGACATTAAACAGCTCCTTACATTTATTCAAGTGCAAGTAGTGTTACTGCTCAAAAATACCTCGAAAAAACTAAGTATTTTTGAGCGACTGTGTGTGGGGTTGCCTCTCCACAGATCTGACCTGTGACTTGGTCTGTTTTTTTCTCCATAAAGATAGAAAGGTTTAATAGCACATTGTGACGTCTCCACAGAGAACAGCATCTGATGGACCCTCCTCTGGAAAAGTTACACAATGCACCTTTAAGATTTACTTGATATAGTATCTCTTATTTTTCTGTGACATGCCCAAACTGGTAGTAAGTAAATATCTGGTCTGAACTAGGACAAAACCTAAAACATGACTCAAGTATTGTCAATAAGGACTATACGAGGAGAACAAAATACTGTTGAAGACTAAACATTGTGGACCACCAACCTCCAACTCTCAGCCAATCACAATCTTATATCTTTGACTCTAACCAATCCTGTTGCTCCATATGTGTTTTTTATGTAATCACAGCCCTGTATCTCTCATCCAGTCACAATATTTCAGTACCATCACTCACTTACAGCCTGGTTTACTGTGACGAAAACCCCACTAAACTATGGACAGTGTCAAACTTTACAATTACTTTATTTTTCTCCTTTGGATTAGTGGTAATTTTCAACAAATCACTGCATATTTCATGTAGATTAGATGAAAGAATAAAAAATAATAACTATTCTCTTTCACTTTTAGCAGGTCAAATTGATGGGACAGTGGTCAAGCAAAGTCCATATTTGGTCACAGCTGTGGGAGACAATGTGACAGTGAACTGTGACCAGTCTCTAGGTTTAAACACAGACTGGATTTATTTCTTCAGACAGCGTCCAGGGCAAAGAACCTTGGTGCTGGCGGCTCAAACTACACTAACTTACATCACTTATGCAGAGAAGCGATGGAGGCAGTATATTCATAGGGAATGGCAACCTAAAGTAATTGGTTTAAAAACGCTGAATGTGAGCAGAGAGGATGAAGCTGTGTACTTTTGTGCTGTGAGCCTCTTATCTACCACAGTGAGACAGGAAGAGAAGGCAGATGAACAAAATCTATACACCTGCAAACACACACACCACAAACATAACACACTTCAGTAGTAGGATTGTGAAAAAAGTACTTTAAAAATCACATAAATACAAATTGGACATTTCCTAAATATTTTTAGAATTGCTTAAGTTGAGATAATTGAAAATAAGTTTTAAATGTTTGTTTTATGTCCAAACTCAGATGTCCACTAGGAATACTAGAGGCCACAAGGAGGCAAGAGTGAGCCTTGTGCAAGACACTTCATCCACCTTGTCTAGTTTTAATGTGGTGTCTCCCAGAGTGATTGGTGATGATCCATTAAGACAAAAATTGTACTCAAATAAGAGTAACATTACTTAAACATCATATTACTTAAATATAAATAATTAAAGAATACTGGTCCAAGAAATTACTCAAGTAAGAGTAACTTAAAGGTTAACTGTCTGGACATAACATCTGATTTATCGTTTGAACTGAATTACTGAGCTCTTAATGGGCTATGGGGTGAGTGTTTAAATAAAGAGAATCCTGAGAAATTATACTGAGATCCCAATAAAGATCATTTCTCTTGATTCTTTTTATTTAAACCCTCACCCCATAGACTTTTTGGAGCTCCGTGGTTAATGAAATTAAAAGGACAATACATTAATTAATTTAATTTAATTAAACAATGTACAAATCTGCTTATTTTAGACAGACACAAAAATTTGACCAAAAAAAAATTATTTCTCATTTTTTTAAAAACACGGCACAAGTGGCTGAGTTTCCTTCAGGCACTCCAGTTTCCCTCATCAACCCAATACACCAAAGGTAAAGTTCTTCACTTAAGGTAGTCCTGACCAGGCCTAACTCAAGATCTGGAGATGAGTCCTCGGGTGCAGTGTAGAGACAACTGCTCCTGACAGTTTGCCCCAGAGCAATGGGTCAAATGCAGAGAATAAATTTTCTTATGGGGACAATAAAGGTTAATCTTAAAAGTGCACTGTATAACTTTTTGCTTTGGGGGTCCGTCACCTGTTTGTTTCTATGGATATGTCATTGCTCTGTCTGGAATGTTCCTCAGTATGACATTAAACAGTTCTACCTTACATTTATTCAGGTGGTTTTATTGATCAAAAATACCTACAAAAACAGACTTTCTGACTGTGAGTGGGGTCTCTCCACAGATCTGACCTGTGATTTAGCCTGGTTTGGCCTCCCAAACCCAAAACTCAAGTATTGTCAATAAGGACTGTACAAGGAGAAGAAAATGGTGAAAATACTGTTGAATATTAAACATTGTGAACCGCCAACCTCCAACTCTCAGCCAATCACCAATTTGTAAGTCTATATTTGGTCACAGCTGTGGGAGACAATGTGACAGTGAACTGTGATCACTCTCTGGGTTTAAACACAGACTGGATTTATTTCTTCAGACAGTGTCCAGGGCAGAGAAGCTTGGTGCTGGTGGCTCAGTCTACACTGACTTCCACTATTTGCAGAAAATAGATCACAGCGTCTATCTAAAACACAGCAATTTGTAGAAAAATATTTTCAAAATATCATAACTTATGTACTTATAAAGTTAAATCTAAGGGAGATCTCTATACTGGAGCTATTTATCTGAAAATCGTATTGATGTTTTTGAAAGATTTTCACGTAAAAGTAAATTTAATTTTTAAGTAAATATTAAGTTTTGAAGAAAAAAAAGTAGTGTCCCATCTTTTTTTCAACTCCGTTAGACATTTAGAAAAAAAACTCATTAAATCAGGCTGTAGTATAATTATCTAAATCTCTGTGGGCCCTGTTTGTTACCTTTACTCCACTGAATGCAGCACTACCAACACATAGCCTGGTCACTTTTACACATCTTTATATTTAACATGGACAATGATGAAATTTCTGAAGTCACAGCTGTAAAGTGTCAGCTCCGTCAGTCCATTCTGATCCATTTCTTAAAACAGAACTGGAGTGAGTCTAAGCCTTCAGTGAGGTCATAAAGGTAGCTTACATACTGAGCAAAAAGAAACTAGATGCAATGTACCATATATGTTTAACAAGAAAAAAACTGGCATTTTTGTCAACCCCATCAGTCATCAACTCCACTAGATTTCATGCCTGATAGAGCTGATCGATGGAGTTGACAAATCCCCCAGTAGCCTCCAACTGTGCTAATAAAATATTATTTGTGATCTTACAAATGTGTTAATTTAACATTTCACAGTTTAAGTTAGACATTATATACTTCCTGGTGATAAAAGCATGCAACAGTGTCTCCATGTTGGAGCTAACTGGTTTTAAGCTTTTCCAAAATCCTGTAGGAAGAAGGGCAATAACGTCTTTCCCCTTGATAAAATTCACCAAACATTCTCTTTGTTCCGGCTTTAAATCCTCAGTCTCAGGAATCGTTGCCAACACAGAATGTATGACTCTTCGCTGATTGGCTGGTGCCCGAACTCGGACTTCTGGGGTTCTTGCAAACCATCTCGTGTATTCCAATTCCTGACAGAGCCGCTGGAGAGAACTGAAATTGAGTGGAGGCACTAGGTGGTGCTGTCCTGGCTAAAGTTTTCCCTGGTGGGACAATAAAGTTTATTTTGTCTGACCTGGATTTTGTGATATTCTTTGAAAATACCAGATACTCTATAACAAATTTGTGCTAAAGTTTATGTTAAATTTAAAGGCCTTCAATTACATTAACTTAATCAGATGTTGCTTCAGTAGTAATTTACTCTTACTTGAGTCATGGACAACTACTTCTACTTGAGTAATATTATTTGAAGCAATGGTACCAGTTTATGGCTGCTCTATTCACTTCTGGCTGTAACATTCTGGTTTACAAAAAGCAGTACTATTAAAACTCAGATGCTCTTAGCTTTCATAAATGTTTTCAGTGCACACTGTTTTTTAATCACGTGATCTGGCAACTCAAAAGAGTTCATTCCTCTTTCTGGTTGAAACTTTTTAATGTTTTAAATAATCTAAAATAATTTTGTTACTGAATAAATCAACATTACACATTTTAACTAGTTTACTTCATATCAAAGGATACAGAAAGTTTATGTTTATGTATTGTAAGTAATGTATTTAAACCTCTTTGGTCTTCTTCTAGGTTTCTTCTCTGTCTGCTCTATTCTCAGCATCATATATTCTCTCTATAGCTCCTTTGTGCATCACTATGTCACAATCATGTTGATGCAGTGTCACTTTCTGCACATAGGGGGCGATCTACCCTCAGTCTGGGAAGGTCATATAAGGTGACACAATATAACTACATATCTGTACTTCCTCCAATTCATTTCAGTCACTCAGGCCCCAATATGTTCAGACACACAATCACCTTTCTGGTGGTTTTGTTTAGATTACAGGTCAAAGGTAAGATCCATGAAACTTTACATTATGTATTTACGTATTATCGTAGATTTTTTAAATTACCATTTATATTTCAATTATAGGTCAAGTTGAGGGTTCAGATGTGACCCAGGATGGATTGATTTGGGCACAAGAAGGAAAAGAAGCCACAATGAGCTGCACTCACACAAAAGGAGCTAGCTATAATCAAATGTACTGGTATAGACAGCTGCCCGGAGAAACTATGAGACTTGTAGTTTTTACATCATACCTCAAAGATGACCACGACTTTGGAGATTTCAGCAAAGAGAAATACTCTGCTCAACGGGCCAAAGCTGAAAGTGGAACATTTACAGTGAAAGATGTAACAGCTGCAGATAAAGCCATGTATTTCTGTGCTGTAAGTCAACACAGTGAATCAAACTCATGCAAAACCTCAACATAAACATATCAAGAGTCTGGGTGTACAGTGTATCAGACCACAACTGTCTGAATGAAGACACACCCACCTACAATGCAACTACTCTAACATATGGTTTTCTTCATTAACACAAGAGTCTGTCTCCAGCTCAGACAAAATGGGCTGTTTTAATGATGAGTTTCTCATCTTACTTTTACTCATCTTTTTTAACGGTATGATTTTTAAAACATTATCAGCATTATTTTGTGAAACTCAAATTATTATCTCATTGCATCATAGATGTATGTACTGTTATGTTTTTAACTACTAATTTAAACGCAATTTACATAACAATACTTAATACTACGAGAATGCTTTTAACTGTATGTGCCTTTAAAAAAATGGAAAAACTATTTTCCTCTTCATTTAAGCAATTTATAGATTTACAATTCCTGGTATGGGGACCATTTTGAGGACATTTCACCTTTCAAAAGACAGAATATTTAGTTTTGAGTTGTTAATTGCTATGGTAACAGTCCAGCATTCATAGCTAGATTTCATAATAAAAAAATCTATTCACAACATAAACATAACTTGTATTTCTCTGTTTAGGTGTGTGTTTTTCCAGTGTGATCCAGAAGGACATTTTGTGGGAATCGGAAGGAGGGAATGCCACACTCCACTGCAGCCACACTAAAGGATCTTCTTATTTCCAAATGTACTGGTACAGACAGAGACCTGGAGAAAACATGAGACAAATCGTATTTACAAGAACCACATCTGAGCCTGATTTTGAGCCAGATTTTAGAAATGATAGATTTAAAGTTACCAGGCCAAATGCTGAAAGTGGGACACTGACAGTGGAAAAGCTGCAGCCCGGAGACAGTGGAGTGTACTTTTGTGCTGTCAGTGAACACAGTGAAACAAACTCATTTCAAACATGAACAAAAACTCAACACAAACTAATACAGAAGACACCTGCTGGATTTGGCAAATACTTATTTACTCCACAGTGGCTGGTGGTGGGAAATAAAACCACATGAGTGAAGAAAGAGTACTGCGATGCAATCAAACCCCTTGTTGAATCTTAACTGAATATTGACATTAAAAATAAAGTAATAATGTGCATGTACTGTATATAGTACTATAAATATTACTATATCAATTCATATTTAATGATTTGTCTTAATCCAAAAATTCCATCCAACAGGAATTTTAATATGGAATGGTCCAATATAATGTGCCATTCAGCACCATGGACAGGGATAGAGGTGCACTAACATTTCTCAGCTTCCTGCTTGTCTCCATAGTTGTGTTATTGCTTTGCCTAAATGTTTCACAGTATGGGATTAAACTTATCTTTCGAAAATGGAGAAAAGCAGATGATATCACCAAGTCAAGTTACTGGTCAAATCTGTGTAGAAAAGACTGATCACTTCCAGAATGCATGTTTTTTTTCAAATTCTTTTGTTTGTTTTTATAACTGTAATTGAATAAATGAAAAAACATTGGTTAAATGCATGCTATGGAATACAGAATATTTCAGACAAAGCAATAATGTTACCTAGAAGATCAGATTTTTTTTTAAGCCACACCAGAAGATTCTTTAGATCTAATATAATGAACTATGCCAAAAAAAAGATGCCTATGAATAAAATAAAGAAATAAATATCATAAAATCTTCAAAAACAGACTCCAAGTCCAGAGACAGAGCAGTGCATACAGTTAGCATCATGCACCAGTGAAATGTTGTAAGTATCAATTCTGCTCATTGTAAGGAGTCATTCAGGAATAACTATGACTTCAAGACTTACTTTTGCATCATGACATATGCAATTTTAGAACACCTTTTTGGCTTTAGTGGTACTAACAAAGAAAAAAAGATGGTAGACTATTTGCTGTAAAAACTTTATCACACAAGAAATATTGAAGTAACAGCCACACAAGTGAAAGCATTTCTTCTTTCTTATCACATTGTAGTGTTTTGACTGGATTTGTATACATTGTACAAGTCTGCACATCCACTGATTGAAACTCCTCCTGTATCACTGTCTCATCCCTGAGTTAGCATCATGTTCAGTTATGTCAGTTATAATCTCTTTAGTTACACTCCCTCTGTGCTTTTCAGGTAAGATTAAAACACTTTTATTGTACTTAATCAAAGGTTTTTTCATAAATTGTTGGATTTTTAACACAAAACATACAAATAAAAAAAACAAACAAAAGAAACCCCCTATGTAACTTTTATGGTGGGGGGTCTGCTACCTAATTGTGTCCATATGTTGGCATTAAACTTATCCATTTCTATTGCTCAAAAAATGTGAAAAACATGCATTCTCAATGTGAGCAGACTTGCCTCTCCACAGATCTAAACTGTAACTCTCAGATAGCTTGTTCTGTTGCTGTCACTTGCTATTATTAATGGAGATTGATAGGGTTAATGCTATATTGTAGAAGTCCAGGCAAAGTTGAACAATCTCATAGAAACAACCAGGTGGCACATGCTCCACAAGAAAAAAAAAATTACACATTGGATCTTTAAATTAAATTAACTGGGGTCAAATACATAATATGATTTTTTTTTTTTTACCTTTTTCCACAGATCAACCTAAATATGCTGTCACCCATAGCCCCAAAAACATCATCACAGCCCAAGTGAAGGTCATAGTGATAGACTGCAGCCATTCAAACTCAGACTTTGACATGATCCTGTGGTACAGACCTGACCTCATCGCTTATGCCAGATTTTCCAGTTTAATTGTAGAAAACAGATCTGAATCCTTGTATAATGACAGTGGGAGTGGGTCCAGTAGAGCGTCTCTGCATATTTTGAATGTGAAAACAGCTTCAGACAGCGTTGTGTATTTCTGCGCTGCCAGTAGCCACAGTGAGAAGTGAGAAGAGAAATACTGACTAATAACTGTGATCATGCACCTGCTATAGGCTATTTGCTATGTTGATGTAATATCATACGCATTAGGACCATTGGGGGGCGCTGTTTTGCCACAATCAAAAACAGCACAGGCAGAATCTCTCTCTACAATGTGATTTTCAGCTGGAGAGTAATAACTTGATACCTGTATATGTAATTTTTACTCCAGTTACATAAACAAAACAAAAACAAAAGAATATAATGAACTTAGACAACCAAATATTTTAAAGGTGCACTGTGTAACATTTCTGGTGAGGTGCCATTTGAATTTTCTGGAATGGCATTAAACTTATCTTCCATTTATTCACTTACAAGTGGTTTTCTTTCAAAAAATTCATTGAAAAACATGTTTTTTAGCTGTGAGTGGGCTTGCATCTCTACAGAGAAAAGAAAGTGGCAAACCCTCCACCAGAAATGTAGTGTACCTTTAAATAAAACATTTAGCTCCTCACTGAACAAGAATCAATAGGAATAGCAGTGTCACAGGTACCTCCCACTTTTTCATTCTAGACTGAACAGTGTGTATATGGATAGATTTCAGTGTGACGTAAAGTACAACATAGATAACAAATCATGGGACTTCATATCCTTTTAATAGCCTTTGAAATTATACTGGCCTCAGGTATTATATTGATATTTATTTTACTTTGTATTTATTTCTGTGTGTATTCTGTATCGGCATTTTTGCTACTGTGTGTTGTGTTTGTGAAAATATTAATTATTATGATTTTTTTTTTTTTTCCCTTAGGCTCCACTACCAATGTCCAGCAATCTCCATCAGATATAATCGCTGACATGGGAGAACCAAGTGCAATAGCGTGTTCTCACAGTGTTCAAGACTACACTGTTATATTATGGTACAAGAAGACCAAAGACTCCACTCAACTACAGTTTCTCGGACACATGAATGTGATTGGCGGATTTCCAGTGACAGGAGTAGATGTGGAGATGAAAGGGGGAGCATTAAAGGGCCAAAAGTGTACTTTAACTATTCCACAAAACAATGAGAGTGCCACGTATTATTGTGCAGCGAGTAGCACAGTGAGAAAAAGAGGTGTGCCCCACTACAAAAATATTCACGTGATTAAACTGGGCTCACATTTGTACTTGAAGCATGAAGAACAAAGTCAAAGTACAGGAAATAATGAACAAAACACACAAACTGAACCATAGAGGGATCAGACATGTAAAAACAGTCTACATGAATTGTTCATTTACCTTTGACTTATAATGTATTAAGGGTGAACTGCACATTTTTTCTGGTAGAGGGTCCAGACATAGTGCATCTTTAAATAAAATGAAATATTTATATCCTCAGTGCTCACTGAACGAGAACCAATAGGAATTGTGTTTCAGGTACCTCCCACTATTTCAAAAACCACATTAGATTGAACAGTGTTTATATGACGCATACAACATAGATAACTAATCATGGGACTTCACATAATATTAATAGCCTTTAAAATTATATTTGCTTCAGGTAATATTTTTATATCTATGTATTTTGTATGTATATGTTTGTTACTGTGTATAGTTAAATAAATATATGTTTCTTTTTTTTAGGCTTCACCACCAACGTCCTCCAATCCCCACCAGATATAGTAACTGAAATGGGAGAATCAAGTGAAATAAAATGCACTCACAGCAGTCAAGATTTTAACCGTATATTATGGTACAAGAAGACCAAAGACTCCACTCAACTACAGCTTCTTGGGCTCATGAATGTGAATGATGGACATCCAGAGAAAGGAATAAATGTGGAGATTAAAGGGGGAGCATTAAAGGACCAACACTGTTTTTTAACTATTCCACAAAACAATGAGAGTGCCACGTATTATTGTGCAGCAAGTAGCACAGTGAGAAAAAGCAGTTTGCCCCATTACAAAAATATTCACATGATTAAACTGGGCTCACAGGCATTTGCACCTGAGGGACGAATAACATAGCCAGATCTGATATAAAAGTACAGGAAATAATGAACAAAACACACAAACTGAACCACAGAGGGATCAGACATGTAAAAATAATGTGGAGAATTATGACACCTGCAAATGTGGATTTCAATGCATCAAAATATCAGAAATGTCAAGGTTTTAATACTCCGGTAGAATAA